CTTTATGAGAATCAAATAGAAGAATCTAGTGACACAAAACTTGCCGCTAAAGTTTCGTTCAATTAGACTCAACTAAAACTTTATGATAAAATTATTGTCAAAGTGATAGAAGAATCTAGTGACATAAAACGTGCCTGTGGAGTGTGGGCTAAAGTTTTATTCAATTAGATGCATCTACAACTTTATGATAAAACTATCAAACCATGTTCTTTTTCTTGATCCCTGTGGGTAAATTAAGAAATATGATTCGATATTTTATCCTGACTATTTACATTAATATAATAAAATTCTTGTGGGTAGATTTTATTATACTTTATGTAATTAGTCACAAAGTGATCAAAATATCTTAATAATTTCAGTTATGAAATTGTATTGATCACTTGATATTTGTACACAAAAGAATATTAATGTAACAATTAAGCTATTAATCCAATTTTTTTAATGCATAATAAATACACATAAAAGAAACTAGACTAATTATCACAAAATGTACACAATAAAATATTCTTTGAATATGTACATATATCAATACTTTGTGATAGAAGATACCAATTTATTTACATTATAACCATATGTTAAATAAATTGACTTTCCTATCTGTAATGCATGATAAGACTCACTAAAACTATATTCTGATACATAATTGCATGTGAGCTAAATTATGATCATAGTTTGGTGTTTTAACCCTAATTAATCATATAAGCATAACAAAATTGTCTGTGGGCTAAATTTCATTATATCATATATAATTAATCACAATCGATATGTCTATGATATATTGTATGTGATCTCAGGAAATTTTAATTAATTAATTAATTAAAGATGTTGTGGCTAGTCCTTAATTAATCAAAATTATATTATCACTATACTGTTATCTTGGTATTTTAGGCATGCATCAACTTTAAATCCTAAAAACAATTATGCAACAATGTGATCAACTTTAATAGTTCAGATATGGAAAGACTTTTGTTGAGATTAACAAGAACAAGAAAAATAATAATGGCAGAAAGGTAAAGAAGACAAGATTTACGTGGTTCAGCAATGTGCCTACATCCACGGGAGTGAAAGTATTCTCTTATTATTTGTGATGGTGTACGTGGTGACACTACCCCTTAGGGATACAACCAATATATTTATACGCATCTAATCCCTATACAATAGGTCTACCCGTTTCACTCCTACTCCTAGTATGAGACAAACACTTATTCCTAATCCATATATGAGACAAACTCAACAATCTCCACCTTGGCGAATATGCTCTTTAGGAGAAAAGATAATTCAACAAATCCCCATCTTGACGAATATGCTATTTAGGAGAAAGAAATTATCTCACCATCTCCACCTTCACATATATGCCCTTTAGGAGAAAGACTATCTCCACCTTGGTGAATATGCTCTTTAGGATAAAAAGATAACTCAACAAATCTCCACCTTAGCAAATATGTCCCTTAGGAGAAAAGACTTATCTAACTATCTCCACCTTCGCAAATATGCCCTTTAGGAGAAAAATATTTATCTCACATATACACATGGGTAGGAACAACCATGTTTATCCCTACTAGCCAGCCACATGCATACGCAGCATCAAACGTTACCTAGTGCATGTACACGAACCGCTTCGTCCCAAGCCATTCGCCCCTCAGCCGTCGACCTGTTATACCAGCCGCGACTCATGCTTACTGTCTCGTTTAGCTGGCCTCCTGTATCTAGCCCATACCAGGTCCATGTCCCCTCCTGGTATCCACGCTGCCCCAACACAACAGCGCCCCTGCAAAGTCACACTAAACCCGTGTGTCTTGCCCAATGCTCCACTAACCAGCAATTACCACTGGCCAGCAACACGCACGACGCAGCATCAAACGTTTCCCAGTGCATGTTCACGAACTTCTTCTGAAGCAGGAAGCTACGGACGTGGTACATGCTGATGACTCTTATTATAGTGAAGGTGATGTTCTAGCGGTAACTAGTAACAAGTTCGAACATTGTTTGGACTTGTTGGGCATTTCTAGATGCTAGATGAAAAGGTGGTGAGTGGCGCTGTAGTGTTGGGCAGCGCGGATACCAGGAGGGGTCGTGGACCTGGTATCGCGGTATCGTATGGGCTTATATGGGCTCGGTATGTGCCGGTATGGCATTGGTTAGGGCCGATATGGGTTTGGTATGGGAGAACTTCTTCGTCGTCCCTAGAAGTCCTCCCATACCAAACCCATATCGGCCCTAACCAATGCCATACCTGCACATACCGAGCCCATATAAGCCCATACCGATACCGATACCAGGTCCACGACCCCTCCTGGTATCCGCGCTGCCCAACACTACAGCGCCCCTCACCACCTTCTCATCTAGCATCTAGAAATGCCCAACAAGTCCAAACAATGTTCGAACTTGTTACTAGTTACCGCTAGAACATCACCTTCACTATAATAAGAGTCATCAGCATGTACCACGTCCGTAGCTTCCTGCTTCTTCAACTCCCCCAAATCAGCCTCTTCCAGATTTGCTGGCTTTTCTGCCTTCAAGGTTTTCAGAAGGCCCTGATATGCCAACAAGTCCCTTACCCTAGACCGCCATAACCCAAAATTCCCTATACCATCAAACTTTGATACCTCGAATTTTGTACTTGAATTAGTCATCTCAACTATGCTCTGATACCAATTTGTTGAGATTAACAAGAACAAGAAAAATAATAATGGCAAAAAGGGTAATGAAGGCAAGATTTACGTGGTTCAGCAATGTGCCTACATCCACGGGAGTGAAAGTATTCTCTTATTATTTGTGATGGTGTACGTGGTGACACTACCCCTTAGGGATACAACCAATATATTTATATGCATCTAATCCCTATACAATAGGTCTACCCGTTTCACTCCTACTCCTAGTATGAGACAAACACTTATTCCTAATCCATATATGAGAAAAACTCAACAACTTTTAATCTCAAGTGAACATTATATTCTAGATGGTCTAAAGGTGCTTAAACATAATGCACTACCATATATAATTTCACACATAAAGTTCAATTTAACAAGGAATTATTATAATTCCTAACTTAGGAAATTTCTAAAGGGATAATTAAATTCACATAACTATAAAATATAATATTATGCTTGTGAACAATTATGTATAAAACTCAATAAGCTCATATCCAAATAAATTGTACATCATAAGAACAATTTAATATAAGCTATAAAATTATTATTCAAATAACAACATAATATGGGAGTGTGAACTGGAAGTGTATTATTGAGTGATTACAGAAGCAATAAATAGAGTGTAATCCCACAGAAGAAGGAACTACACAAACAAACCCAATAGACTAGGTAACAAACTCTAACCAACCCATACTAAGTCTTAGTCCCAACACGCCCCCGCAAGATGGGAGCACCATCGGTGAGACCAATCTTGGACCTGAAAACAGTGAACAAATGCCGGCCAAGCGGCTTAGTCAAAAGATCAGCCACTTGTTCCGATGATCGTACATAACAGACTCGAAGCAAGCCAGACACAACCTACTCACGGACAAAAAAATAATCAAGCGCCAAGTGCTTCATCCGAGAGTGGAAGACGGGATTCTTGCAGACATAAGACGCACTCATATTATCAGTAACCAAAACCGGGGAAGTACGCAACCGCACCCTAAGTTCATGAAGCAGATTCCGAATCCACATAACTTAAGCAGTGGAATTAGCGAGAACACGGAATTCAGTCTCCGTGGAAGATCGAGACAGGCAGTGTTGTTTCGTAGACTTCCAGGACACAACATTCGGTGCAAAATAAATGACATAGGCCGTGGTTGACCGTCCCCCATCTCGAGTGTCTCCCCAATCCGAGTCCGAGTAAGCCGTAAGGGACAAAGATTGACCCCTGCGAGAATGTAAGCCAAGATATAGGGTCCCCCCCTTCAAGTAACGAAGTACGCGCTTCACAGACTGCCACTGGAGTTCAGTAGGTGCCGCCATAAACTGCACCAAACGGTTCATAGCAAATGAGATCTCCGGTCGCGTGATAGCCAGGTACTGTAACCGACCAATCGCCTGCCGATAAATGATCGCATCAAACGCAGGAGAGGTGACAGCATGTAAGTCAACAGATGTATTCATGGGCGTCGCTACCTCTTTCGCCCCCGTCATACCAAACTGGTCTAGAGTATCAACCACATACTAAGACTGTGATAGAAACAAACCATCAGCAGTTGGAACAACCTCAACACCTAAAAAGTGATGAAGTGGCCCCAACTCTTTAAGTGAAAACCGATGCGCAAGACGACGCACAAACGCATCGACAAACCCATCATTATTCCCTTTCAGAATTATATCGTCTACGTAAACTAGAAAATACACAATTACTTCCCGAGAACAGTAAACAAACAAAGACGAATCAGCTACAGATTTTTTGAAACCACAAGTCACAAGAAATTTTGATAACTCCAAATACCAAGCCCGCGGGGCTTGCTTCAGACCATAAATCGCCTTTCGCAGTTTGCAGACATAACCCGGGAGCTGTTGATCAACAAAGCCAGCCGGCTGTTCCATATACACCTCTTCAAACAAAGTGCCATTTAAGAAAGCGTTGTTTATATCTAACTACCGTAGCGGCCACCCCTGTGACAACGAAATTGTGAGAATAACCCGGATAGTTACCGGTTTTACAACCGGGCTAAAAGTCTGGAAATAATCACGACCGGCTTCCTGCAAAAAACCTTTCGCCACCAGTCGGGCCTTGAACCGGTCTACCGAGCCATCAGCTTTGCGTTTCACCCGGAAAACCCATTTGCAACCAACCACCGCATGATCAAGCCGCGATACCAAATCCCAGGTGTTATTTCTTACCAACGCATCAAACTCAGCGGTCATGGCAGCCACCCACTCACCATCCTTCATAGTTTGTGCTACTGTACGGGGTTCAACTGACAAGGCAACAGGATGAGCACTAGCTGTATTCACCATCTTGTCGTTGAAGTATCTGGGATTCGGACGGCTGTGTCATTGCGACCGACGCTGCTAGGGCGCCTGGGAGTCCATGGCTAGTGTCTCGGAGACTGCCGACACTGACCCCAAGGCTTGAGAACTGCTCACACCCGGTATGGAAGCTACTGGCTGTGATTCCGAACCTGAAGCGAACGGTACCGCCTCCGAACCCGCAAGCATCGCCTCCGAACCCTCAGGCGCTGACTCCAAAACCGCAGGCACCGAGTGCGACGCGGTAGACCCCGACTGTGACGGTGCTGTGCTGGGCAGTGCTGATGCCACAGAGTCTCCAGCCGGTTGACATGCAAGCTGCCCTGAGTCGATTGACCTAGATGAAGACAGACTTTGACCTGCATTGGAATAGGACACAACAGACAATGGACCTGAGACAGGCACTATTAGCGAAGGGGAACTTAGTTGAACATTTTCGAAAGTAGTGCGTGACACATTCAATAGTCTATGAAATGGGAACTCGTCGGTTATAACTGAGACGGGTCCAGACACTTGTATGCTGACTGACTAAGTGAATACCCCAAAAAGACACACGCCCGAGACTTTGGGTTCAGCTTACCGGGAAAGTATGGCTTTAACCAGAGAAAACAAAGACACCCAAAGGGCTGTATTTTATCATTGTTGGGTTTCTTATTGAACAATCTTTCAAACGGTGAGGAGTGTTGAAGCATAGGGGTAGGCATGCGGTTGATTAAGTAAACAGCTGATTGAAACGCGTACGACCAATACGAGGATAGCATGGATGCAAAGTGTAGCAAAGCCATGCCACTCTCCACAATGTGTCTGTGACGCCTCTCGACGGAACCATTATGTTCCGGGGTGTGAGGAGGGGAAGTGAAATGTGAGATGCCAAGCTTATTGAAGATTGGGATCAATTTTGTATATTCCCCCCGTTATATGAAAAAATAGATACTATTCTATGCCAAAAATAGTTCTCAACCATGCCCTTAAACTGAAGAAAAACCCTATAGACATCGATTTTAGAGTTAACGGGAATAACCAAATATATTTCGTATAGTGATCTATGAAACTAACATAGTACTTAAAGTTATCTACTGAGACAGTTGACGAACACCACACGTCTATGTAAATGAGCTCTAAAGGCTTAGTACTTGTCACAGTATTAAACGAAAAAAAGGCAGTTTATGGCTCTTATTTATACTGCATGAAGTACAAGAAAATGACTCAAGTGCCAGACGATTAAAAGGAACATTATTACTGCGCAAGATAGAGAATAGAGTTTTGTGATTTGGATTACCATATTGATAGTGCCACCTGGCAATGGAAGACTTGACACCGAATTGACTTGACTGACACGAGCAGGAATGGCATAAACTATAACGTCATTCACGACTGGACCGCGCACCAGAGTTGTTCCCGACGATCGATCCTTAACAAGAAAATGAGTGTAAAAAAACTCAACTAAAACTGAGTTAGATTTACATAACTTGGAAACAGAAATTAAATTTTTCTGCAGATTTGGAACGCATAACACTTCAGTTAGGGAAAGGGAGCGACTATTAAGTGGAAGTGAAACAGACCCTGTGTGTGAAATGCGTAGACTCTTACCATCACCCAGAACAATCTCACCCGGACCTGTGTAGTCTGAAAACGACTGTAGGGACTGAGGGTCAGAGACAATATGATGTGACACACCCGAGTCTATTAGCCACGATTTGGACTGCGCTGGACTAGTAGCCATGGAGTTCACCATAGGGGATTGCTGACATTGGCTATGGGGTTCAATAACCGCAACATTGTTCTCTTTCAGGAATTTGGAAAGTTTGCGACAGTACCTTGCATCATGCCCCGGGTAATCACAAAAATTGCAATGCCGAGCTGACATGTTACCAAAGGACCTCCCTTGGTCGTGCCTTCCATTCATACCGCCTCGGCCACGACGATTGTTGGACTGAAAGGTAGAGTCACCACCTGTATTGTTTGACCGCCGGTGTGTGACGTTAGCCGTAGGTACATGCACCTGTGAAGCGGCATCATTGTCATGCAGCAGCCGCTCGTAATCTGTGAGAACGTCCTGTAGTTCCCCAAACGAGATGCAACCTGTTCGCACACGAAGAATTGCCACGATGGAGTTATACTCATCACCGAGCTGAGTGAAGACGTGCACCACCAGGTCCTCCTCATGAACTGGGCTTTGTGCAAGCGCTAAGTCATCCGCAATTGTCCTCATTTCACGCATGTAAGCTTCAACTGACCGGTTGCCTTTGGGGTTCTTCACGAGTTTTGCTTTCAACGAGACAATGCGGCTGCGGGATGAGGCTCCGCAGGTCGTGGATAGCCGAGTCCAAGCATCAAACGCCGATGAAGCCGATGAGATGATAGGGTGTAGAACATCGGTCAAACTGCCTAGAAGTGCACTCAGGATAATTTGATCCTGTCGATACCACGCCATGTAGGCCGGGTTAGATACTACTTGCGCCGCGTCCGTGTACTTCGCCAGAGCTGGCTTCGTACCATGAACGAAGCCTACAAGGTCTAAGCCGGTGAGTGTAGACTCCACCTGTTTTTTCCAAATGGAGAAGTTGGATGTGGTAAGTTTAATTGGAAGATGAGAAGGGGCATAGATTTGGATGACAATAGCTTGAGGTGTGGCAGCCATGTCGGGAAAAAAAAAAACCAAGGAAAGGAGAGGAAAAAAAAAAGATCTCGTTAGAGTTAAGGCTCTAATACCATATGGGAGTGTGAACTGGAAGTGTATTATTGAGTGATTATAGAAGCAATAAATAGAGTGTAATCCCACAGAAGAAAGAACTACACAAACAAACCCAATAGAGTAGGTAACAAACTCTAACCAACCCATACTAAGTTTTAGTCCCAACACATAAATCCAAAACTTAAAAGGATTATAACATTTGAATAAAATTTATAATAAGTATATATTTTTCAATACAAAAATATTCAATGCATATAGTATACCTTATGAGAACTAGTTTAAAATTGTAAATTCTAACCATATCAAAATCATATGATATGTTGACATTTACAAATTAAATTCTCACAAAACTAAATTGCATAATTTAAACCATAATATTATGCATTTAATTTAATTATATGCATAAAACAAACTAAAAAAATATGAATATAAAATCAAATATTCATAGTCAATCAAAGTGGACATCACAATCCAAAAATAATAATGATAACAATGATACGAAATATTGATTCCTCAGTTCAAAATCGATAATCAATATTACTGTAATAATAATTATGTGACAGTAATAACTGAATAATCAATTTCCTCAATCGTAACCCTTGACATTTAATAGCAATAACTATAAAATGTTATATAATATTATCATTATTAACACATATGTTTTGGATCAAGAATGAAATGGTTTCAAAATTATGATTTCAAATCATACTATCAAAATCCAAAACTAATGACGATAGTAACGCTACAAATCATTGATCCATCAGTTCAAAAACTGATAATCGTTATTACTACAATAATTCTAATAATTATTAAATAACAATAATAACGGAATAATCAATTTTCTTAAACGTAACCGTACACAGGGACGGAGCCAGAAAATTAATTGAGTGGGGGGCGGAATTTAAATGTCGATAGAAATGTCAATTACAAAATATCAAACCAGCATAATAAGATTAAAATACAAAATACTTTATAAATTACAATAGCATATTTTTATAGATTACACGATAGTGAGTCGGAGTCAAAAATATACTTGTGTGAGGTGAAAATGCGAAAATATTTATGACAAAATATGAAACGTAATCCATTAAATAAAAATTTTTGAATAACACTATATTCATAAATACTTTTAAATTTTAATTTTTTTTTTTAGTTAGATCAACTTTAAGTTTTTCTAAATTAATTTGAATACAATGAAGTAGACTAATGAAGTAGATCAACTAGCAAATTAATTCGAATAAATTTATATGAAGTATAATATAAACTTGTGTACTGCATTAATTACATGATTCATAAAAATAGATTAAAAAAGTATTGAATTTATCTTGGAAAGGAATGAAATAAACAAGTGTTGTTAATGAGTTTTGAACCCATGACCATATACTTTTTATTAAAATCAAATTTAGAGTTCAACCAACTAAACTACTCAAAAAATTAATACATTAAACATAAATATAAATTTTATATAACATTTAATGCTATATATGTATATATATACATACATATATATAAAGGGGTGGGGTGGGAGGAGTGGGGGCAGCTGCCCCCACTGCCCCCAGGCTAGCTCCGTGTTATTATTAAATGTTATTCAGGACTAATGGAAGCAATAAATAGAGTGTAATCCCACAGAAGAAAGAACTACACAAACAAACCCAATAGAGTAGGTAACAAACTCTAACCAACCCATACTAAGTTTTAGTCCCAACACATAAATCCAAAACTTAAAGGATTATAACATTTGAATAAAATTTATAATAAGTATATATTTTTCAATACAAAAATATTCAATGCATATAGTATACTTTATGAGAACTAGTTTAAAATTGTAAATTCTAACCATATCAAAATCATATGATATGTTGACATTTACAAATTAAATTCTCACAAAACTAAATTGCATAATTTAAACCATAATATTATGCATTTAATTTAATTATATGCATAAAACAAACTAAAAAAAATATGAATATAAAATCAAATATTCATAGTCAATCAAAGTGGACATCACAATCCAAAAATAATAATGATAACAATGATACGAAATATTGGTTCCTCAGTTCAAAATCGATAATCAATATTACTGTAATAATAATTATGTGACAGTAATAACTGAATAATCAATTTCCTCTATCGTAACCCTTGACATTTAATAGCAATAACTATAAAATCTATACTATATATAAAAACAAAATCCTAAAATTTTAACTTCCCGCCCAATTCCTAAAAAATCTCTCTTCCTAATAAAATATATTGATTTCTACTTTCCCTTTCGTACAATAATTATGCGTTAAAATTCTATTCTAATATTATAAAATAGTGTAATACAATCTATATACTATATATAAAAACAAAATCCTGAAATTTTAACTTCCCGCCCAATTCTTAAAAAATCTCTCTTCCTAATAAAATATATTGGTTTCTACTTTCCCTTTCGTACAATAATTATGCGTTAAAATTCTATTCTAATATTATAAAATAGTGTAATACAATCTATCTATACTATATATAAAAACAAAATCCTGAAATTTTAACTTCCCGCCCAATTCCTAAAAAATCTCTCTTCCTAATAAAATATATTGATTTCTACTTTCCCTTTCGTACAATAATTATGCGTTAAAATTCTATTCTAATATTATAAAATAGTGTAATACAATCTATCTATACTATATATAAAAACAAAATCCTGAAATTTTAACTTCCCGCCCAATTCCTAAAAAATCTCTCTTCCTAATAAAATATATTGATTTCTACTTTCCCTTTCGTACAATAATTATGCGTTAAAATTATATTCTAATATTATAAAATAGTGTAATACAATCTATATACTATATATAAAAACAAAATCCTGAAATTTTAACTTCCCGCCCAATTCCTAAAAAATCTCTCTTCCTAATAAAATATATTGGTTTCTACTTTCCCTTTCGTACAATAATTATGCGTTAAAATTCTATTCTAATATTATAAAATAGTGTAATACAATCTATCTATACTATATATAAAAACAAAATCCTGAAATTTGAACTTCCCGCCCAATTCCTAAAAAATCTCTCTTCGTAATAAAATATATTGATTTCTACTTTCCCTTTCGTACAATAATTATATGTTAAAATTCTATTCTAATATTATAAAATATTGTAATACAATCTATCTATACTATATATAAAAACAAAATCTTGAAATTTTAACTTCCCGCCCAATTCCTAAAAAATCTCTCTTCGTAATAAAATATATTGATTTCTACTTTCCCTTTTGTACAATAATTATGCGTTAAAATTCTATTCTAATATTATAAAATAGTGTAATACTATTCCTATTCTAATCTATATCTATTTTATATATCAGTGTTGCAAAAATCGTGTCGCTGGCCGCGGCGAGGATGGCCGGAATCGGCGTCCTCAGCGGCCACCTCGCCGGCTGAACCGGCCTTTAATTTTTTATTTTTATTTTTTAAGTTGTAAAGTGTCAAAAGTTTGGCATGGCATAACTTTTGACTCCGTTCTCCGTTTTGGACAAATATTTTTTTCAAATCGCGTATTTTTTCAAGATCTATCTACCGCAAATTGCCGTAGGCGGTTTCGCCCACCAATTTCTAAAAAAAAAAAGTACTTTATTAAAGAGTTTCTAAGAAAAAACTATGAGAACCTTTTGATTTATTAATGAATTTTTAAAATTTTTAATTAAACAATTGTCCCGTGCATTATTTAATAATCTTTCTTTATAATTGGTCAAATGATTTAATTATGATAAATTTGTGAATAATTAATGATGGTAATAGAAATCCTAGAAGAATATAGAATTGAACAATATTTAATTATTGTTATATTATTATTGTGACTCACGGAATACAAGAGTTAATGCCATTTTTGGTCCTAGACTTATTGGGGCATTGACACTTTTTATCCTCCATAATAAAAATTGTCACTTAGTAGCCACTGTTATTGATCATTGGACAGTTTTGATCCTCCGTCAATGACGCCGTTTGTTGACCGTGAATTAGAAGGGTTTTTCTGTCTTTTTATGTTCTAATCCTTGTATTTCTCCATCCATTGGTCACTGCTATATCCATTTCTTCAAACTGAGGTTATCCGCTTCAGTCCTTTCTAACATTAAGAAACCATCTTCACCCAACTAACAATCACAAATTTTTCATTTGACATCAATCTCAAGATAATGGAAACAAGTGCAGTTGGAATACAAAGGGCGTTAGTCCATACCTGTGGAAATTTTGTCGAGCATACAACATAACTAGCAAAGTCAGGAATATCACCCAACCCCTCCCTTAACCTTTCTGCATCAACTATAATAGGTATGCCCCTACTCTTTGCCTCCTGCACTACAATCAAAGCAGTCTCATGCATCCTTCCATCTAAGTAGACAATATTTACTCCAAGCCCTGAAGACAATTTTGATTTGGGTATGTAGACCCTCAGATATCATGGGTGGATATCCTGGAGTGAAAATGCACGTGCGAGTTTTTTTTTTTTTTTTTGGTTGTCAACAATGACATATGTGAATGGTGAGTTTCCTCCTTTGGACACCACCATAAGATGTATCAACACCATCCCTTTCAAGCTCATCAAGTATTCTTTCGCCATGCGAGTCATCAGCAACCTTAGATATGATCCTTGGATTAAGACCAAGACGAATTTTTTCATCCGAGTTTTATCAAAGCATTGCAAGTGTTACCACCTCCTTGAACCTCAAAGCTGGTGCTCCGAATTTTATCATCCGGGTTGGGGAATGAAGCTATAGCAGCCAGGAAGTCAACACCGGCCATTCCAACACCTCAGACAATGCGATTTTTGGGGAGCGGCGGATTCTACATTTTCAGCTTGAAACTTCAATGAATTTCAGGTAGAATAACAGAGTTTTTGAGGCTGTGCACCAAGTAGTTGTGGTCAGAGAGAGAGAGAGAGATGGGAAGGATATTTGTGGTCAATATGGAA